GGGGGGGCTAGCGTAGGAGGGAGTGTCAACCGGGTCTGGGGAGGGCAGACAAACATATACACCTCCCGGTCGACTGACCGATCCACATCTTGTGTGGGTAAAACCAGAGAGTTAGACTGCCCAGAGGGCACCATTCGCTCGTGCGTCAGGGTCAGGGCAGGAGAGACCACGGGCACATCTCCGGAACCCCAGTGTAGGGAGCCAACAGCACCCGGACGTCACCCCGGAGCGCCACACTGATCCCACAGAAGGCGTCATAGGTCCGCTCTCCCTAGGGCACCGGAGACGTCACCCAGGTCGAACATCAGCAGATAAGGGGCATCTCCCGAGTAGCCAAAGAGGGTCGCGCCATAAGTCCGGGAGGGTCCCCCAGATGTATGGGGCCCCGTCTAAGCACCCCTAGACCCATCTAGGTTACCATGTGCACTTGATTGTCGCACGGCCCGAGAGACAACCCCACACCAGCCGTGGAGATGGACCCTGGGGCGTCTCGGCGAAAATCAGCCGTAAACCCCAGCCAGGAGGGCGTGTCGCCCCAGAGTGCACAAACAGTGTTGCATAAATGTCAACCGTCCCCCGCTAACATATTAGTAATAAGATTAAATAAATCCGAAACGGTAAGGGGGGGGCGTAGCCCCATAAAGAGCTCAGAACCAACCCATCATCGTGTTACCAAGCCCGATATATTGCCAGACAGAGTCCAAAAAAGGCCAGCTAACTCTGTCAAAGGCCTTTTCGGCATTGGTACCAAGAAGTAGGCAGGAGGTTGATGTGGAAGAGGCATGGTGAATCAGATGCAAGACCTTAATAATTGCTGTCCCTGGCTTGGCGATAAGGAGTAAATTGAACTTGATCAAGATGAACAAGGGAAGGGATGTGAGGAAGCAATCGATTTGCAAGTATTTTAGTAAAAATGTCAACGTTTAAGAGGGATATTGGGCAATAACTAGAACATAATAACAAATCTTTAGGAAGGACAGTGATAAAAGCCTGGAAAAAATAGGAGAACAAGGCATTTCGCTGGTCGCTTGTGGTCGGTATGGTAGACTGTGAGGGCAGATTATAGAGAGTAGAGTAGAGGGATCTAAAGGCATCAGCTTATATCCATGGGTAAATGTAAATCAATAGTCTGGTAGAGATACAGGGGACATATGATTGAACATGTTGTTCTCTTAAGGCATTCGCGAGAATGCGGCCACATTTATTACCTGATTCATAAAAGATCCGCGGACTGTGAGCTAGAGATGCCCGATGCCGAAAAAACGGTATCGGTGCATCCTTACTTCACAAGGATAAGGTCGTTCTCAGTTGGTAATACATTAATTTGCACTCAAACACTAATTCATCAAATAAATATCAGCTGCTGTCCTATAAGTGTACTAAGTCACCAAAAAAAACCAATATCATACAGTGCACTGCACTATCACTAATCAAATTACAAAAAACTCAAGTGCTCCAGTAATAACATTGCCAGTTCCAGTTGTGTAGGAGGAACTCATAAGGAACCGTGGACAGGGGAAGGAGTGAGTCATATACCACTGGGAAGGAGATAAGCAACTGAGTGTTACTATATGAAGCTATATGTGACCATCTATAATTTTGGTGGTCAATATTATCTGGTAAGTGTGGAGAAATTCCTTGACATCAGGCATGTTGGTGATTAAATAAAGGGAACATGTGAATACACATATAGGTGTAGTGTGGCATATCACTGGATATTGGGAATAAGAGGAGAACTAATGAATGGAGTTTTAATATATGATTGATTTATTTATATTTATGTATGAAATTATTAAATTATATCACTTTATGATGAATGATTGGTACAAATAGCTATGTGCATTCAGAAATGTATTACTGGAGCGCTTGATTAGTTTTTTTGTAATTTGATTGGTGATGACCCAGTGCACTGTTCAATAAAGGTTATTTTCAGGCCTAGAAATTTGTTTCTGATGTCTTCCTTTTATCTTTACCTGCACATTGTCCTTTTTTTTTTGTCCCACTCTGAAACGTCCGAAGGAGATTTCCCTCCACTTAAACAGTTTTATATGTGGTTCAAGCTGGCCGACTTTCCCTGTCAACTACACCTTCTTTTTTAGGCAATCTAATTACCTCTTTATCCTTTACGAAGGACCTTGCAGGGACTCCCTGTGTCTCATTATACTCCACTATGTGTCCACTGTATATCTCAGTGGATTCAAGTCATTGTGCATATCTAGTCTGCTAGGAACTGGGTTCCACCCTTTCCTGTAAAGGCACATTTTACCAGATTTGTCATTGTGTCTTGGGTTTTTTGGCATCAGAAATCTAATTTTCAAATTTGCAAGGCCCCCACCTGTTACCATGTTTACCAAGTTTTACCAGGTGGATGTTTGCACCTTTTGCTGATGCTATTTTCAGCTGTAATGTGCTTCAGGCTGCTCTGAGTATGTTTTTTTACCTTTGTTTTGTGGGTCTGTTGGTGGTTGTTTGCTGTGCTGCCCCCCCCCCCCCCCCCCCCCCAGTC